ACGACATGCTACGAGACGCGCCCGAGCGTGGAAACACGCCTTCTGCGTCCTCTGGCGAACCGCCGCAGGTAGCGGCCCGCCGCGGCCGCCTACATGGCGTGCAACCACCACCAGATGCAGTTGACGAAGGAAACCGACTGCGGAGAGCTACAAGGAACCCTCTTGCCTCAACCGGCTCGGGGGCTCCGCGACTACCCGACTGGACGAGATTTGGTATCCAACACAGTCTGCAAAATCTCCGTAGTCACGGAGTTCATGTTGTTAAAAAGGAACTCCGTAAACTGCACCTGGGACAACGTTCGACTAAATATGATCAAAGAAGTTTGTGACACCTGGCGGGAATGTAGAGCATGGGAACGTCCAGGCAATTCAACACTACCTTCGGTAAGCCTTCCTGGAAATCGGCTCGATGAAGGTGAAATGGGTCTCATGTTTTACAAGAAACGGACCATGTTTCACATTGTGGACCGTTGTATTCGCCTGGCAGCAGGCCAAGAGATCTCCGACAGAGAACGTGATACTATACTCGACGCCTACCACTATTGCTGGATTGCCTATCATGGACCCTTCAAAGTCTTATACTCAGATGGAGAAGGCGCCCTGAACAATGACACTGCCAAGGCCATGATGGCGAACAAGGGTACAACACTCCGTATCCGAGCGCCTGGCCAACACGCGACTTCGATCGAGTCACGTGATGGTATTCTCAGGGGCGTTCTCCACATGATTGAGGAAGAGCTGAACAGACGCAACATCCCTGTTGTATTCACCAGAGTATTGGCTGAAGGCATCTTCGTCACCAACGCCTTCACGTTTTACAACGGAGTATCGCCATACCAAGCACACACTGGACGACAGCCCTCCTTTCTTCCTGACCTCGACACCCTTGACTTCCCTAAGGGGCCCGAGACGTCAGGTCACGAACGAGAACGCCGTGTGAGGGAAGTTCGCCTAGAAGCAATAATTCAAGCCACGGCTGTGGCCAAGACAAACCGTGCTCTCAGGGCTAAAACAGCTCCAGATGGTGCTTGCCTTTACTCAGCAGGGGATCTGGTCGACTACCATCGACCTACTGCCACTGAGGACGATCATGGAGGCTGGAATGGCCCATTTTCTGTGACCCGTAACGTGCTTGAAAGAGGACACATCGTTGTCAAGGCAGGATCTCGTGAGGTAATTGTAATGTATCCTGATGCTCGTCACACGCTATACATTGAATGCCTCCTTACACGGGAACTTGGCATGGACAACGTGGCCATGCAGACCGTCCCTACATATGTGGCACACCTTTGCGCAGGGAAACCTGCCAAAGTCTTCGGCTACATTCCAGACTACAAGGGAAACCTGAACCTTTCAGATGACAGCAAGTTTCGCCCGCGCGTGCATCTTGCATTGCAATATCTCGTGCGAAACTATTTCCGAGTTGAACACGTAGTAGCAGTTAGATTGGCCAAGAGTGTGTCCTATCTATTTGCAGTAAAGTACGCCACCGGGTCTACGCTGATCCACTACGATAACGACGTCAACCCAGCCTTCCACTATTATGAGTGTGTGGGCATTGGCCTGAACATTCCTCAAATCACTGGTAGCACTCACTCCAGATTCATCCAATGCTTGACATCACATGTTCCTTCCTTAGGATTTCATGACGACCTGGCCAAGTATCAGCACTCGGGCACCACGTCTGGAGAACGCGACCCGCCTGGAAACAGGCCTCCACCAGACACCCCAGGTGCTTCATCACCAAGTGAAGGCCGTGTGTCTACAACCGACGAAGAAAATGAGGAACATGATATAGAAACTATGATGCTGGAAGAGTGGTGCGATGAGCTACGTATGGACCTTCATCCCACGACGATCACCGACGATCATCTTTACTGCGTCCCAACAACCATGCTGCCCGACCAATGTGTTCTGGTTTCAGCATCCGTGGACGAAGAAGTTATCGTAGTGTCGGAAACGCTCGGAGACGAGCCTGAACCACAAGAGCTTTGTCTTGTCTCTCTATGCTCAACTACACCTGGCGAGGGTTATTCTCTTGACAGTGATGAACATGGTCCTTATGTTGAGTTATGTTTTACGCCAGAAATGTCAAAGGTAGTGTTGGATCAGACTCAACTTGCACAGCTCGACACTGGTATGGTCGCAACGATGAGAGTATACGTATCCTCGGCTGCTAAACGCGCCGTGGTAGTTAAGGAAGACGACCTACTCACCAAAGCCGACATAGCAGCACACCCTAAAGAGGTTAGTGAAGCTTTGTGCACCGAACTCAAGATCTGGCTTGATAACCGGTGCTTTGAGGTGTATGACCTATCTAAAGCTTCCAACATCATGACATCCAGATATGTATATAAGTGGAAGTTTGTAAAGGTAGGTACCGAGAACGTTATAACCATCCGTCTCAGACTTGTCCTTCGTGGATTTATGGACGAGGCGTTCGATGTGGAAACCTTCTCAGGAACTGCTCGAAGGCAGTCCCAGAGGCTCCTGGCAAGTGAGGCGGCATGTCATCCTGAGTGGATCTTAGCATCCATGGATATCGACAAAGCGTTCCTCAAGGGGTTGACCTATGAGGAACTTGCTCATGCCACCGGCGAGGAAACTCGCATGGTTTGCTTCGCTCTTCCACCAGGAAGCGCCCAGGTACTTCGTACACTGCCCGGCTTTTCGTCCTATGATGAAAGCCGACACTGCCTCAGGTGCCTCAAGCCAGGGACGGGTACAAAGGACGCCCCAAGAGCGTTCTCCCTCAAGCTTCGTACGACCACACGAGCTATAGGCCTTACACCGACAAGTTATGATCCTGAGTTTGAATTCAGTCAAGATCTGCTGACAGCAGAACATGTTGATGACATCAATATGACAGGCCTAGAGAAAAATATAGACGACTATGTACAACGTGTCGAAAAGGTGTTTGGTAAATGCAAGCCTAATGAACATTCCTATGCGAACTGCGCCGTTCGCTATACCAAGAATGACCAAGGGGATGTGATCATGGATCAGGACGAGTACATTAAACAACTACGTCCTATCACACACCCCGAACTCACAGGAGCGGCGGCCGATGCCAAAGCCACCAAACTCATCGCCGACATTTTTGTCAGTCTGCGAGGAGCCCTCGCCCATGCCCTTCTTACTCAAGTCTGGCTTATGGTGTATGTGGTCTCTCTTCAGAAAATCCAAGAGCCCACGAACCTACAAGTCAGGCGACTGAATGCTGTGACGCGAAAGCTGATCAGCAGCCCGAAACGCATCACCTTCCCTCGGATGAAACCGACGAACGAAGTTGACATACATAGTGTTTCGGGGTATCGGAAGCTCACCGAGGAGGAGGGCGATGAGACCAAGGGCTACGGCATACGCGGGGCCAACGTACTACGGCGAGGAAACTCGCCCCAAGGCAAACCCGTCATTCACCTTTGTGACGGACTATGTAAATCACATCGACTGCAGGTGAGGTCCAGCTATGCCGCTGAAGCACTTGCAGCTGCACACAATCTTGATGAGTGCTACCCCCTCATCACTCTCCACGAGCCCAAGGCAGGGGCCCTGACTCCACGACAACTACGAGACATGCGTGAAGTTGGAGGCCTAGCCATTAAGGTATCCCTCACCATAGACGCTGAGTCTGTATACAAATCGTTATCCAACAAAGATCTTAATATACCGGCGGAACAGACTTTGCTGGGACATATCAGCTGGATACGTGAGCTCATGGATATAGGTATAGTTCATAATGTGCAGTGGTGTGATACTAGAGATATGGGCATACAAAGGGGAGTATCGATCGGGAGCTGCTTTTGGAAGTGATGTCAGGTAGTCAGTCATTCAAGTATGACGTAAAGCAGTTTGTTCCCTTTCGGGGTCCCGAGGACAGAAACAAGCCTGAGTCTAATCAATTTTAGTATGTCCTTGTTGCCCCCCGCGGTCCAGTTTGCCACCATGGGCGCCTAATGCAGAGGCGCCCTTCTAGGTGTTCGGAAACGAGCCTACCATTTCACGCTTGGTAACGAGCCTGTTCAGTTTGGTTCAGGCTCCTTGCCTAAATATCCGCTTGCTCGGTGAGGTATAGACCGTCTGGCTTACCTCTAGCCGAGCCGATAGCCCTTTGACGACCGAGGGGCTATCTCGTTTTTGCGTGAAATGCTTTGCGAGGAAACTCGCCTTACAGTCTGGTGTTAGGCCAGACTGTACGCACTGTTTTCTTGCAAACAGTCGTGCGCGCGGCCTTTGTAGAGCCTAACGGCTGCGCGGCTATACTCTCCGTCTCCTCCCCTCCCGACTTTATGGGTAGCTCTCTGGGAGATGTTATATATAATCGGGAGTATAGCTCGCGCGCCGTTGCCTTTGGCTCAAGGCACGCGCGCCCTATTTGCCCGGACACTGCTTGTGTTCGCTATGTGCTGGAAAGATCACTACATCGATCTTATCTTATTTTATCCGTCCATTCGTCTTACTGAACAGCCTCAGTACGATACCGGACGCTATTTGCCATCCGCTTCCCATGGAATCGGATGCTATTTGACTTACCATAGTCACTTCAGACTCCGAGAGTAACGGTATCGGTAGTGGTTGGTTTCCACTGTTCGAGGGAAGAGGCACGATGACCATGACCATCTTGTTGACGCCGATCTTGGTCATGAGCCATACCGCCCGTCGCCGGTTCACGAGGATGATCCGCAAGTCGGCGATGACCAAGATGGACGATGACTAAGGTCGACAACGACGTTTTCTGTGTTCCTTCTTGGTCGTGGTCATCGTTTTTCTTCCCCTCCGATTTCCATATGAGCCATCTCGATTGAATCGATCTGGTTCGACGTCGATTCCGGCCACCCCGATCCACCACCTGTCTCCCCGCCCTCCGAGGATCGGGTTCTGGTCATCGAGGTTTCCGGCAGTCATGGGCCTTGTTTTGCCCCTGGGGGCCTTCGGAGGCATCTGGGGACCACTGGCAGCCTCCAGATGCCTCAGCGGGACCGCTTGGAGACCCCGGGGAGGACACCACCACCCGGCACATTGCGAAGACGTTGCACAAGAAGATGAAGCTCAGGGATGCGCTGCCACTGCTGGAAGGCAAACTGCCCAAGGATGTGACGTCCTTGCTACACATGGCAAGCGATGAGCACGCGAAGGCGGGCGGCCAGTTCAGCGAGGTGTCATTAGCGAAAGCCCGCGCCTATTTGAACAACATGATGTACGACGCGTGGCTTCAGCTGGACCAGATCGAGGTCGACTGCAAGGAGTTCGAGGAGAGCAACCGAATGGTGTTCAGCCAGGTGGTGACAGACTTGGAACACTTTGGCTCAGACCTCGCCGACAAACAGCGCATGAAGGCCGAGGCCGAAGGTGGCACCGCGGACATGCAGACTCGGATCAACGGCTTGGAGGGCTCCCTGGATACGTTGAAGCGGAGCTTCCAGTCGACGCGCGAGAAGAACGCATATGAGCTAGCGCTGCGCCAGGACGACCAGGATGTCTTCACCGCCCTCATGCAGCTGTCGAAGTGCCCCAACGCCTATGGAGATGACACGTACTCCTTTGCACAGTCTCCGATCTGCCTCACGGACAACGGCACCCAGGTGGAGGTGAGCAACGCCTCCTTGGCGGCGAAGCTGAATCGATCGCCACGGGTGCAGAAGGTGCTCCGGGAAGTCCTGGAGACCGCTGACTCTCAGGCGCCCTCGCTGCTGCAGATCGATCAGGCGCCCCCGCCGCATAAGGTCAAGCAACCAACGGGCGGCTCGAGGAAGTGCCTCAACGGCATCGTCAATTGCGGCTACCTTCACGACCTCATGGCGGTGGAGTGGGGCAAGTTCAAGGACCTGGTAGACGAGCTGACGTACATCATGGAGCAGAACCGCGACGCCTACGAGGGCGAGAAGGAAAACATGAACGAGCAGATTGCTACGCTGAGGGGGAACAAGATGAAGTTCACGGAGATGCTGGGCGAGGCCATCTCCGACATCAATTCGATCACGTCAGCAACGCGCGAAAAGCAGCAGCAGCACCGGGACATCGAGCGTGCCTTCGAGATCAAGATGGCGGATTGCAAGACACACATGAGCGAGATCCTCTACACGAACATCTGTGGAACTCGGACCGTGCGCAACGCACTGATGCGGTACAGCACGGTCTCGCCCACGCCGTCGATCAGGGACTGCGACGTGACGGACTGGTCGGCGGGGCCTTGCACCGCCGACGGAAGGGGCAACTCATTGGCAGTGGACTGCGACGATAGCTGCCCAAAAGACGTCGGGGGCGTCGACGTCGATACGTGTGGTGGTTTGAAGCATCTCACCAGGCTCGAGGAAGATCGGCCGCGAGCGAGGGGGGGAAGTGAGAAGGGGCGGGCCTTCTCAGAAGGCTCGGAAGTCCCTGGGCCTTCTGAGAAGTTTTCGAAGCCTTCCCCGACATCAGCAACAAAAACACTTCTCAGAAGGCGCGAGGGCTTCTGAGAAGTCCCGCCGCCGTCTGAGAAGGCCTTCTCCGTCTCACTTCCCCCCCTCACTCGCCGCCAGGAAGAGCAACTGCAGAACAGTTGGCGTTGGAAAGATAGCGTGCGACGGGGCGCCGTCGGCCTGCTTCCTACACCTGGTCCCTGACCATGAGGACAGCGTGCACCGACGATGCCCTGGCACGGGGACTAACTAGCGTGCGCAGAAGGGGCCCTCGCAGAGGGGTCGCCTCAGAGTGATAGCGTTAGGATGTCTCATACCACTGTAGCCTTGACCACCAGGAACAATTTCGAGCACCAAGGAAGTACTGAGACGTATGAGGAAAAATCCTGGAGGCCTCGCGCGGCGCGCAATAGTTATATTGTGCAGTCCACACGTCAGCTCCGTGAGCTTTGTGTCGACGTTCGCGCGGCGATGCTCCAGCGTCAGTCCGACGTAAATCCGACGTAATTCCGACGTGCTCCGACGCGGACCTGGCGTATATCTCACGTGGATCTGACGTAAATCGGGTCTCAAGTTGCCGATCGAGGCCTCCAGGATGTTTTTCATAACCGGAACTGGGGGATTTTCACGTGTCGGGCCCTGGGAGGCGATGCTCGCTCGACACTGTATCGATATTCGTCGGCGTGCTTGGAATTACTTCTGGAATGTGGCTCGTGAGTGCGATGGGAGCAGCATAAGGACAGCGTGCTGTTCGGGGATCGATGCGGCACTCCTAGCTTTCCAACGCCACGCGTGAGCACAGACTCTCGAGGGCCCGCGCGGATTTCTTGAGAATCTGGTCTGGGCCCCCTGGCGGTGCCTCTGGCGCCGCCCCTGGCGACCTCCGCGTGCCAGGATGGGGGCCCAGCGCCGATCCAAGACATCGTCGCGGACCCTGGAAAGTATATATATATAGATATGTGTGTGTGTGTTTATATATATATATATTAAATACATATATACATATGTGTGTATAAGAAAGCGTGGATACCTATCTTTATACATACATATGTATACATATAGATGACCGGTCTATCTGTGCTTGCACAAAAAGGAACTGCGACTGCCCATCGGCCTGGCGGCTATGTGGTCGCCGTCGCCGCTCCGTCGCCGTTTGAACCTGCGTTACGCTGCATGGCTTTGTGTCACTTTGCATTGCATTCCATGGGTTTGCATTGCTTTCGTTGCTTCGCCTTGCACTGTGTTGCATTGCTTGGCGCCACAAAGATTGCACCACCTAGATTGCACGACATCCATTGCAACTCCAAGACCGCACCGCATATATTGCAACAGATCGCTGTTTGGGGCCTGTGCTGGCTAACAGATTGGGCTCCTTTTCCATAGGCAGGTCATCATCTCCCCGAACTCTTTCGGCATGGCGTGCCCCCCGCTGTATTTCGAGCGCACGAACGGGAGTGTCGGCATGAAGTGCAACCAGTTCCACTGCCCTGTCCACTGCTCCATGTCCGAGTGGTCTGGCTGGTCCGGATGCTCCAAGGAGTGCGGGGAAGGCGTCCAGGGGAAGACACGTTCCATTCTCGTGAAGCCCAAGAACGGTGGGACGGAGTGTGACACCACACTCGAGGAGCAGCCGTGCAACACGGGTTCGTGCGACCGCGATTGCACGCTCATGCCGTGGACTGAGTGGGAGCCCTGCTCGATGGCCTGCGGCGGCGGCATCCAGGAGCGCGTTCGCAAGGTGGACATCCCCATTCGCGCGAACGGCAGGTGCCCAGGGCCGAAGCATCCTGACCGCTTCGAGATGCAGCAGTGCAACACCCAGGACTGCGTTGGCGACGAGATCTGCATCGCCAGGCAGGACCTGGTCATTGCGCTCGACGGCAGCGGCTCCCTGAAGCAGGAGGGCTTTGACATCGTCAAGGATTTTGCCATGAACCTCACGAGCAGGTACCAGGGCGTGTACTACGGTGTGGAGGACATGCGCATCGGGTTGGTCTTGTTTGGGAACGGCGAATACTTCGACAACGGCACCGTCGCGGCGGCCCTCGAGGTAGTCTCGATCACCAGCGACATCGATTCCGTCAGTGCAGCTATCGAAGGGCTGCAGTGGCAGCGCGGCTTCACCAACGTGATGCAGGCACTCCAGGCGGCCGACAACATGTTCGCGGACGGCCGGGAGGACGCGCAGAGTGCCGTGATGATGATATCTGACGGCAAGTGGACCGACGCGTACCGCACGACCATGCTGGCAACGGCGATGAAGGACAAGGGCGTGCAGATCTTCATGGCACCGATCGCCGAGAGCACGACGCAGAATCTGGTAGTGCTCAGGGGCTGGGCGAGCGATCCGTGGGAGACCAACTACGAGCGCATCCCTGGCCTCACGGCGCTCGAAAACAACGAACCGGAGTACGCCCAGAAGTTGTTGGTGAAGTTCTGTCCCCGTGCGTTCTCGCCGTCGGCCAAGTTGGAGGCGGAGCAGCAGCAGGGCTACCTCAAGATCCGTGAGAATGGCTACCCCTCCGACAGCTGCGGCCCGTGGAGAGTCATGGGCACGTTCCGCTCCGTCCAGGCCTGCATGGAGAAGGTGAGGGATGCGGGCATCCTGGCCTTCGCGTACGAGGAAGGGGGTTTTTGGGCGGGGACCTGCTACTCGGAGGCGATGGACGTCACCGATGACTTGTGGAACCAAGCACTGGCTTCCCGCGTCGACCTGTCGTGTCCAGGTGGCGCCTGGGTTGTCAACGAGAGTGCGACGACGACGACGGCCACGGCGACGACGACGAAAGGTGCACCTTTTTGTGCACCTCGGGGGGGGGGCCCCTGGGGCCCGCGGGGGGGTGCGAAGGGCGCATGCTTCCTCGCCCCGCCCATGCCTCGCCACCTCCCCCCCTTCCCTTGGAGCAGCGCCCGACGCCCGCGGACGTCCCGGGGGTCTCCGCCTCTGTGGGCCCCTGGCTCTCCAGAGGCGGCGCGTGGGTCTACAACGAGTTCGCCTCCACCTACATCTCGGGTGCTGCTGGGAGCGCCCCCGGCCCAAGGTGCCCCCAGGATCTCCGAGGAGGCCCCCGCGGCCTCCGGAGAACCCCATCACGCTGCCCAGAGGGCCCCAGGGGCTCCCAAGTGGAGCGAGAAGCTGGGGGCACCCTGGGCCATGGGGCACCCTTTTAGCAGCCCCCGGACATCATGAACCCCGGCATGTTCGGCAGCATCTTCGACGAGTTGGCCTGAGCCGCGCGCCGCGGCCCGCCCCGCTGCACCACGGCCCCGCGGAGAGTGCCCAGTGCGGCGGGCCCGCTCCAGGCTCGTCTCCTGTGCGCCCCTTCCTCTCGCCGCCCAGCTCCTCGTTCCCCCTCCTCCTCCCATCCCTCCCCTCTCCTCTCGCCGTCCGCCGAGCTCCCCCCTCTCGGGCCTCTCCACGCACTTTCTCGTCCTCGTTGTCGCCCCCGCTCCCCTGCCGCTGCCTCTCCCCTCCTCCTTCCTCGTTCCCCCCCCTCGTCCCTCCTCCTCCCTCCTCTCCGTGGACAGCGCCTCCCGTCCTCACCCCTCGCTCCTCTCGTCACTCCTCCTCCTCCTCCTCCTCCTCCTCCTCCTCCTCCTCCTCCTCCTCCTCCTCCTCCTACTCCCCGTCGACGGCGGCCTTTCTCCTCGCGGCCTCGCCCGGAACGCTCGGCCGAGCTCGGCGGCGCGAGCGCGCCGCGGTGCGCACGCGCCCGGGGCTCGGGCGGGCGGCGCCGTCGAGACGCTGGCGCGGGGTCCACCTCTGGGCTTCAGTCGGGCGTGTCCCCCTACACGGGGATCGTCGACGGAAAAATACCCCCCAAATGCCCCAAGAAGGCCAAAAAGTACTCAAAACATGGTCCCCAGACTATTTTTGGACTACTTTTTGTGCGCATTTTTTTTTTTTTTTTTTTTTTTTTTTTTTTTTTTTTTTTTTTAAATAACTTTTCGTCGAAAATCCCCCTGCAGGGGGACAGGCCCGACTCAACTCTGGGCCGGGGAGGGGCTCCGGTTTTGGCGGGGGGCCCCGGAGGAGCTCCACCGCTCCCACGGCGGCCCCGGGCGCCCCCGGCCCGGACAGGTGCGCGTCGTGAGCAGAGGCGCGCGGGGCGGGAGGTCCTTGCCGTGGTTTTCGGGCTCCGGGGGCCCTCGCCGTGCCCTTCCCAGACCCCCTCGAGTAATGAAAAAATCATGACGGAAGGTTTTCCTTCATTTTCGGCCTCGGGGGGCCCTCACCGGGCTTGGGAGCGTCAAAAAACGCTTCAGGATGCAAAGCCGGTCATGGGGAAAGGGTCGGGACCTCTAGGGGTCGACGTAATGAAAAAATCATTACGTCGGGGGTCTGGGTTGACCCCGACTGCACGTAAGAGTGACCTTTCGCTGGAGTGACCTTTGGTGAGGGCCCCACCGGGGCCCCCCGATCGCCGAACGCGATGCGGCAGTGGCGTCCTGCGCGCTCGTTTTCGGCCCCCCCGCGGCGCCCTAAAAAGCCGCGCACCAAAGGTCACTCTTGCCCAGGGTCACTCTTGCGTGTAGTCGATGACCGTCAAAAAAATTATCCTGGCGAAGGACCCAACCATATGCAATTGTGAATACTGCAATTGTGAATATCTTCTCGGTGGAGCCCCCTACGGGGCCACGAAACGTACGAGGGGTGTGCCGAAATGGGTGTGCGGGACGCATGCGGGCACACCCACTGGGGCCTTCGGTGGAGCTCCCTATGGGGCCACGAAACGTGTGAGGGGTGTGCCGAAATGGGTGTGCGGGACGTGCGGGCACACCCACTGGGACCTTCGGCGGAGCTCCCTATGGGGCCACGGAACGTGTGAGGGGCGTGCCGAAATGGGTGTGGCTGACGCATGCGGGCGCGGGCACTGGGGCCTTCGGCGGAGCTCCCTATGGGCCACGAAACGTGTGAGGGGTGTGCCGAAATGGGTGTGGCTGACGCATGCGGGCGCGGGCACTGGGGCCTTCGGTGGAGCTCCCTATGGAGCCACGAAACGTGTGAGGGGTGTGCCGAAATGGGTGTGGCTGACGCATGCGGGCGCGGGCACTGGGGCCTTCGGTGGAGCTCCCTATGGAGCCACGAAACGTGTGAGGGGTGTGCCGAAATGGGTGTGGGTGACGCATGCGGGCGCGGGCACTGGGGCCTTCGGTGGAGCTCCCTATGGAGCCACGAAACGTGTGAGGGGTGTGCCGAAATGGGTGTGGGTGACGCATGCGGGCGCGGGCACTGGGGCCTTCGGTGGAGCTCCCTATGGAGCCACGAAACGTGTGAGGGGTGTGCCGAAATGGGTGTGGGTGACGCATGCGGGCGCGGGCACTGGGGCCTTCGGTGGAGCTCCCTATGGAGCCACGAAACGTGTGAGGGGTGTGCCGAAATGGGTGTGGGTGACGCATGCGGGCGCGGGCACTGGGGCCTTCGGTGGAGCTCCCTATGGGGCCACGAAACGTGTGAGGGGTGTGCCGAAATGGGTGTGGGTGACGCATGTGGGCGCGGGCACTGGGGCCTTCGGTGGAGCTCCCTATGGAGCCACGAAACGTGTGAGGGGTGTGCCGAAATGGGTGTGGGTGACGCATGCGGGCGCGGGCACTGGGGCCTTCGGTGGAGCTCCCTATGGAGCCACGAAACGTGTGAGGGGTGTGCCGAATTGGGTGTGGGTGACGCATGCGGGCGCGGGCACTGGGGCCTTCGGTGGAGCTCCCTATGGAGCCACGAAGCGCTGTACTGGGTGGGTGAAACGCAGGGAAGAGGGGGAGGAGGGAGGAGGAGGGGGAGGAGGAGGAGAGGAGAGGAGAGGAGAGGAGAGGAGAGGAGAGGAGAGGAGAGGAGAGGAGAGGAGAGGAACGCGGGGCACCGTCTCTTCAAAACGAGGACCCAACAACACAGGATGGTTGGGAACAAGTCGGGACGAAAGTCCAGCCTCGGGGAAGGGGTCGGGACCTCTGGGGACCGCGAATCGAAAACATCAGGACGTCGCATGTCTGGAAGACCGCCCGAGCACGCCAGCGGAGCCCAGCAACAGCTGAGCCATGCCCCTCTGAAGCGAACCCCAAGAACCCACCGAGCGGACACATCGAGGAACGCCCAGCGGGGGTCGGCCGGTCGGCGCCAGAGCTCAGCCCTGGTGGCTCCTCCCCGGGACCGCGCCATGGTCTCAGGGAGGAGCGACCGTGCCGCCTGCGGAAGGAGAGGCAGGAGCGAGGAGGAGGAGGAGAGAGTGCGCCAGGGAGGGGCGGAGGGAGAACGACGGAGCGAGTGGCCCGAGGCGGCGGAGAGCGGCGGCTTGCAGTGGGCACGAGCCGCAAAGGAGCAAGCGTGTCTGGGGGCGCTCCTCGGGCCTGGGTCCCGGGGGGCCCCCAGCGTGGCCCCGCCTCGCCGCGGTCGGGAGCTTGGCATCGCTCGGGCGTGTGCCTTTTTCCCTCGGCGAGGGCCATCGAGGAGCATCCTTGATCATTGGGCGAAGAAGCCACGCACGAGACCGAACAAAAAGCACGGGAACTGGACGTCCGAGCGAGGGCCAGGGAGGGCCCCGTGCCTTCCTCTGCCGGCGTGCCTCGTGGCACAGTGGGGGCCCGTGCCAGGAGACGCCCTGCCTGCCTCCAGGGTGCCCTGGGCTTTCCTGCGTTCCGGTGCTTCTGCCGTGGAGCGCGCGGCGTTCCCACACCGAGCGTCAGTGGACGTCCTGGGGTCTCAGGGTTGGGCTTCTTGTGGAAGGTTTCCTGTGGACCAGCCTCCACTGTAGCACGATGACTGCATTGCAGGCTCTTCCCGCCGCGGCGACGTCGGCGGCGAGGCGCTCAGCCAGGGCCCAGGACGCGCCAAGCTGGGCCCCGACGTCCAGCGGATGATTCTTCTCAGTCCGGGCGTTGTGCTCGTGGATCTCGGCTCCCAAGGGCCGCCTGCGGACCCCTGGATCATTCACGGCACACTTCGGCAACGCGCAGAGGGGGGTAGGGGGAGGGGGGAAGGCTTCTTAGAAGCACCCCTGCTTCTTAGAAGGCGCGGGCCTTCTCGATAGACGTGAGGCCGAGGCCTTCTAAGAAGCAGGATGCTTCTAAGAAGCCTTCCCCCCTCCCCCTGCCCCTTTTGCGCGCCGCCAAACACCTGGAAAGAAGGCCTCCCCTCGGAGGGGGCTCGACGCATACGGTCGGCACATCAGCTCAGGCATCGGCCTGCGAGCGGGTGCCCCACGGGCAGGTCTTTATCCCCCGATGGCCCCAGGGATCTGCAGAAGTCTTTGGGGCACCTTAGGGCCCTCAAAGATCGACGAAACAGATGGCCCGAACACGTCTTCCAGCAAGGTGTTTTGTCATGTGTGCCTGCTGCGCACCACGTCGTTCGGTCTGCGAAGCAGGCATCGAGCTTGGCGAAGCAACTTGGTAAATAGACGCTCCAGCATCCCACAGCTCGAGCAGCTGGGGCGCCTGTACACCGAGCTCCTTGGCCGACCATGAGACCTGGCGTATACGTCGAGCACCCTCATGCTCCCGGGGAGGTGTCGGGTTCCGGGCCCGGCTGGGGCCGCGGATCAACAAAACAGACACACACACACACGCACACATACACACACTCTGGCCGGGATTGTCCTGTTTTAACACATGGGGCTTGTGTTATAAGAATTTGGTTTTTTGTTCTCACAACATCTCTGGATTCTGAGAACATGTCGTGGTAGGCTTAAAAGGAATGACGGGGCGGCCGGTCCCTGCTCAAGGCAGGGGTTCGCGACACGGCCCTGCCTTGCCCAGGCCGGCGCCGACCCAGTCTGGCGCGCCCCCGATGCCAAAACCAAATTCTTATAACATAAGCCCCATGTGTTAAAACAGGACAATCCTGGCCAGAGAGTGTGTGTGAGTGTGTGTGTGTGTCTGTTTTGTTGATCCGCGGCCCTGCCTTGCCCAGGCCTGGCGCCGACCCGGTCCGGCGCGCCCCCGATGCCGAGGGCGACCGCGCGTCTCGCGCGCCGCGACCCGTGCTCAAGGACCCAGGGCGGGCCCCTTCTCCGGGGGGGCGGCGCGAGGGCGCGAAGAGGACCGCTCGCCTCGAGGAAGCTCAGGAGGAAAAGAAACACACAGACACAATTAATCTTCGATTTCCCAGAGAATATGGGAAAATATGGGAAGAGGGCGGGAAGACAAAAATGCAGAAAATATGGGAAAATATGGGGCATCTTTTTGTTTGTGTGTATT